TCGATTTTTATGTTGTCTAGTGTGTTCTTCTATCGTTTTACTTCTTGCTATGAGTGCCAATCAATCGTTTTACTTCTTGCTATGAGTGCTAATCAATACATTGTCTGTATGTTTATAACATTTAACCACTATGTACTACAACAATTAAAGCTGAAACAACAATCCAAAACCCCCAGATGCTTCCAACTGTACTACACGTAGAAATTCGGACGTGCCCAAAGCCACACAGCCATGACGACCACGCTGTATTAAACCACTCATCCACAAAATAAACGTCACCAAACTGGCGCCACAACCTTCACACTCTAACAACGGATTTCAGAAGCCTATATACCAATCAACCGCGACATTATCATCAGTAGATCAGCGGCGAATTCTGAGGAACCGTTATTAAATGCGTCATAAACGAGTTGCTGCCCAACTCTATTCCCGCTGGAGCCATTTCGATGCCCTTGGTTGCAAATGTTGTCACGGGTAATCCATCACCATTTGGGACCTGACTGACAGTTTGCAGTCATGCGTGAATCTACAGACAAGTTAAAGCAGTTGGTAGCTTTTGGCTCATTGAACTCTGGTACTGTTTCTTCGTTCAGAGACAATTCAGAGAACAGTTCACTACGGAATGAAGCCCCGCATTCATCGGTTTGTGGTTAATCAACAATGGACCTCATCTGCATAATACGTGCTTTTTCATGGAGCTTCTCATTTTTCCATAATAAACATTCATCATTTATGCAACATTCGACGCACCAGCATTTTTATTTTTCTCCTCAGTGAAATAATGCATTACTCATGAAAATTACTAGATATATTTTAGGCGAACACAGGGTGAGGAACTAAAGAGAAAGGAGGCAATAAAGTGGACACTGAGTTGACTTTCTTTTTTCTTTTGTGTTCACCCTCAGAAGGGCGGTTGACATTCTGTATTGAGGTTTACATATAGGATGGGATATCCGTGCCTTTCAACCCAATACAACTTATTTTAGAAAATCCTTAATTAGTAGTATTTTAGGTACTTTATTATTATCCTACCCCAGATGACGTCACAGGACACTGTCCAACACTTTAGAGGGTGTTAAGACTGGGTTTCCCGGCTTTCTAATGATTTTAATGACCCCAAAACATCTAGAACTGGCCCTAACCCCAACCCACCTAGGTCCCACGAGAGAGTACAGCCTAGGTCCCACGACTGCCTGCAGCCTAGGTAACACGACTGCCTGCAACCTAGGTCCCACGACTGCCTGCAGCCTAGGTCCCACGACTGCCTGCAGCCTAGGTCACACGACTGCCTGCAGCCTAGGTCCCACGACTGCCTGCAGCCTAGGTCCTACGACTGCCTGCAGCCTAGGTCCCACGACTGCCTGCAGCCTAGGTATCACGACTGCCTGCAGCCTGGGTCCCACGACTGCCTGCAGCCTAGGTCCCACGACTGCATGCAGCCTAGGTCTCTCGACTGCCTGCAGCCTAGGTCCCACGTCTGCCTGCAGCCTAGGTCCCACGACTGCCTGCAGCTTGGGTCCCACGACTGCCTGCAGCCTAGGTCCCACGACTGCATGCAGCCTAGGTCTCTCGACTGCCTGCAGCCTAGGTATCACGACTGCCTGCAGCCTAGGTCCCATGACCGCCTGCAGCCTAGGTCCCATGACTGCCTGCAGCCTAGGTCCCACGACTGCCTGCAGCCTAGATCCCTCGATTGCATGCAGCCTATCTACAACCCCCTGAAATATTAGTGTCCCGTGACCTGTTTGGTAATTTCCCTTGTTTGGGGTAAGGACATTCATAAAGCACCGTATTTTACTACATGCTTTTAAAGAAGCAATCATTCTACTCTTTTCCGCCAAACAAACAAATAAAAACAAAGGGGATGGGGCACTGAAACTCGCACTGGGAAGACTATTGGAAAGTAAAGAAAGTCAAGCATAATGACGGTTCTAAGCAAATTGTCTGTCATCTTTGCTGCAGGATAACATCGGTGGTTAGGCATGCGCACTAAACAATTCATAAGTGGTTGAAAGTGGAACAGTATTTAAAACTAAGGCTGAAATTCTAACGTAAATTTTTTTTTTTTTAAATTTTACATATGGCAGCGAAATCTGGAAAAGCCAAATAGACACTGACAGAAAGTTAGATGGATTCAAACATTACATGCCTGGAGAGACTGAGGAGTGTAAAATGGGGGGCATTAAACAAAGCCAAAGAAATCAGAGAGCGCTGGCATCAGTTGTGACCAGATAATGAAGATGGCAAAACACTGGCAATGTATTGTGCAGAAACGGATGAAGAATCACCAGAGGCACTGACCTTTGTTCATTCGACGGAGATGAACGAAAACGTCCAAGAAAGAGGTTGATCAGAGGCCCAATAGAGCGTAACTAGAAGAAGGAGGATCAACAGAAACGATATCAGGAAAGAAGCTGGGGCGAAACCATTACTAAACTATACCAAGAGACAACAAATCAAATGGTTCGGACGTGTGTCCAGACTATCACGAGAAAGTGCACCCGAGAGAGCACTGTCACATAATGGAAGCAGAATTAGAGGTAAATTAGGCAAGCGATTAATAGACAGAATATCCGAGGCCGTAAATACCCGAGAATAAGTTTTTCCTTCCCTATTGTATTCTTTTCGTGTAGTTACTTTGTTTATTCAGTTGCTGTATATCTGTCTGTCTGTCTGTCTGTCTGTCTGTCTGTCTGTCCGTGAAAAGAGTGGAGTGAAAGGTCAAAATGTTAGACGGGCCTGAGAGAAAATAAAGTTTTTTCGTTCGCTCGTTCGGTCGGTCCTTCACTTCCTCCGTCTGTCTGTCTGTTGTCTGAATACACACCCATCTATACATGTATCCATCCATCCATATTTTTATCTATCCACCCATCCAGTCCATCTGTCCGTGTCTAGTAATCACTTTGTCTGTCTGTCCGTCTGTCCTTCCGTCAGCCCGTCTGTCTATATGTGTCTGTCTCCCTATCCCTACGTGTGCGTTAATTCATCTGTATTCCTGCATCTAACCCTAGCCAAAGCAAACATGTATATATCTACATTTATTGACCAGCGTGATGTGTTTCCGGTTTGCACAACCTGGCAAGAACATCGCCCAATGAATTCTGCCACAGACCGGGCCCTGGGACCAGAGATTAGCTGGTATCGGAGCAATCGCAGGTACAGTTTTACCTGGGCCATCTCTTTACCTGTCTATTTCATGGATGATTTACTGTCGGCTTCAAACTGCATGCAACATCTGGATAAACTCCTGGAGCATATCTAAGAGCAACAGGTGTAATTACGCAGCTAACATGACCACACATTTCCTCTTTAGGTGCGGAAAAACAAGTGGGTGGCTGGGAAACGATTCAACGAACGAACTTTATTGTCCAAGGATTAAGAATTAGGCACGCAGGCCTCTAACATTCTGCTCTTCTAGTTCCTTCCTTTCCTACACCATTTTATTCATACATCAAGTAGTAGTAAACATTATCAATAGCATCAACTTATTTAATACAAGCACTGGAATGTGCATATTTCGAGGAGGAAGTGGGAGATAAAAGAGGGAGGAGTTGTAGATATTTGTAACTCGGGCTTTATTCACTAGATACATTTTTCTAATGAAATAGCTCACGGAAAACAAATACTGCAATATGGGATGGGAAATGTTTCAAAGAAGATACAGAGCAAAGCACATAACTCGACTTAATGTCCAACACCCAATATTAATAATGCCTCCAAATGTATGCTTAAATGAAACATGACAAGAAAAGAGAATAATGCTGCAGAAAATAGCCGATTTTCTAAAACAGAATTATATTAACTAACAGAGCAGTGTTATGGGCGATTATACACGTCTGGCATATAGTTGTCTTGCCATTAATTGTAGCGTTGCGCCAACTGAAAATATCACACAACTGCAAGCAGCTGTAACATAGCTGTCCTCATTATTTTAGTCAGCAGAAGGTCACGAAGTGACGAAGGTGTCTCGTGTGCCATTTCTAGAAAGCTGCGATAACGAAGTCACTAAGCGGCTGGACCTGAAAGTCCGAAGGTTTTCGGTTCGAAACATCCTCACGGTGGATCCCTTTCCCTCCCCGAGTCAATTACCCGGGCTATATTGTCAACTGTCAACTTAGCATGAAATTGGCAGCATTTAAGGTCATAATTAGTCATTTCAGATGGCGGGATGTTGACCATATAACCCATCGAGTGACGATGTGCCTATAACAAACAAATATGAGTTGAGCATCATATGTCATTCCGCTGTCTTCTATGCTCAGCAGGTATACTTAACACTGTATACTGCATACGTTTCAACTCCATGGCGACCTATGCTTTCACTACATATGTAGTGGTAGTATCAGTAGGTGCTGTTACAGCGGCTACAGATGTGGTGGTAGTAGCAGTAGGAGCAGTCACAGATGTGGTGGTAGTAGCAGTAGGAGCAGTCACAGAGGTTACAGATGTAGTGCTAGTAGCAGTGGTAGTAGCAACAGAAGTAGCATTTGATATGTTAATAGCAGTGATCTTGTTAACAGTAATCGTGGTGGTAGTGGTAGCAGAAACAGCATTGTCCGCAGCAGCTGCGGCAGCAGGGTCACAGTATTTGTTGTAGTAATAGCAGTAGAAGTAGTAGCAGCAATATTAACAGTAGTATCAGCAGCAGTAGTAGTAAATGTGGTGGTGGTGATGATAGTAGTAGTAGTAATAGTAGTAGTAGTAGTAGTAATAGTAGTAGTAGTATCGAAAGTAGTAGTAACAGTAACAGTGTTTGTTGTAGTAATAGGAGTAGTAGCAATAGTAATAGTAGTATCAGCAGCAGTAGCAGTAGCAGCAGCAGTAGATGTAGTAGTAAATGTGGTGGTGGTGGTAGTAGTAGAAGAACCAGCAGAAGTGGCGTGATTCTAGTAGTGTAATTGTATTTGCAGTAATATCAGAAGCAGTCAGAAGAGAGAGAAAACAGCAAAGGCAAAGCGTTAAAAATAAACGTAACAGGAGATCACGAACTGCAAACCTACCCTAAAGTCTCCTCCGTGTCCATCGTCCAACTCCAGCGTATATGCTTCCACCACACTACCCATCTGCGGAGCCCAAGCAATCGTCACACTGTTGTTCTCACAGGAACAATCTTCGGGGATAATCACCGGATGTCCCGGAGCTGGAGGCATTCAGATGAATCATATATTTGAAGTTATTGAATACTTCTACTACAAAACTATGACTTTGTCTTAAATTCTGATTACAGTGCCTACAGAACTACGACTTTGTCTTAAATTCTGATTACAGTGCCTACAGAACTACGACTTTGTCTTAAATTCTGATTACAGTGCCTACAGAACTACGACTTTGTCTTAAATTCTGATTACAGTGCCTACAGAACTACGACTTTGTCTTAAATTCTGATTACAGTGCCTACAGAACTACGACTTTGTCTTAAATTCTGATTACAGTGCCTACAGAACTACGACTTTGTCTTAAATTCTGATTACAGTGCCTACAGAACTACGACTTTGTCTTAAATTCTGATTACAGTGCCTACAGAACTACGACTTTGTCTTAAATTCTGATTACAGTGCCTACAGAACTACGACTTTGTCTTAAATTCTGATTACAGTGCCTACAGAATTATGACTTTGTCTTAAATTCTGATTTCAGTGCCTACATAATTATGACTGTCTTAAATTCTGATTACAGTGACTACAAAATTATGACTGTGTCTTAAATTTTGACTTCAGAACTAGGATTGTCTTAAATTTTGACTACAGTGACTACAGAACTAGGACTGTCTTAAATTCTAACTACACTAAAAAATATAACTATGACTGTCTAAAATTAAATTCTGACTACAATGACTACTGAACTACGACGTGTGATTACAACAGAAATACCACTAGGTTGCAAAAGTTTGACTATATATATATATATATATTGTGTGTGTGTGTGTGTGTGTGTTATAGATATCACCGGCCTCCACTGAACTATGTGACTGGCCTTCTCTCTTCATTCTGCAGGTGTTATTCTATCACTTGGGGGGGGGGGGGGGAGAGGTTGCTTCTACCTCTAATCAGCTCTTATGTAGGCAGTTTTTAATCTGTTATCTGCCATCCTCTCTATTTGACTTAACCACTGCAGTCTATAAGCCCTTCTAACACCAGAAATTAGTGACGAATTAAAGAAATGATTCATGTCTTTGCTGCCTTCCACTCTCCATTATCTGCTGTTTGCATCTTTAATGGGTCTAAGAATTCGTCCTGAAACCATGTTTTTTAAGAATTGTAATGTGACTTCCTTTCTTTTAGTGATACTTTGGCTTTCAGAGCCATGTGGGACAATAGGACCTGGCCAGCTTTGTATCTTAATACTGGTGTTACGAGACAGGGCTATACATTTTTAACAGATGTTATAGGGCACACAACATCTCATTTCTAGATAATATATGTATATGTATAAACCGCACGACAATATGAAGAAAAATGGGTGGGGTGAATGAAAAGCAGGGGTGCGGTAGTCGTAGGGTTGTAATAATAATAATAACATAATAATAATTAATAATAATAATAATAATGCTATGGAAAAAAATCGAATACGGAAATATATTTGGAATAATATAAACACAAAATTGAATACGGTAAAATATTGGGAATAATATGAAATTTACTTTGAAATGTATGAATGAATCCTTAAAACGAGGACGTCTATACATGGTGGGAGAGGGCGGGGTATTGAGCCTTTTTTTACAGCACAATAGTAATAATATTATTACAAAATCATTATTATTATCATCCTAATTAAGTGCCGAACTTCAAATAGATATGAAATAGTATATTTTAGATAATACGCAGTTTATGAATAAATGCTTAGAAAGGGGACGTTGTTACATGGTGGGAAAAAAATAGGGGCATGGCAACTTAGGCCTTGTTTAACTGCGCGCTGTATTATTATTTTATTGCGTACTGGTGACCTCAAGATGCACATGGTAATATATATATATATATATATATATATATATATATATATATATATATATATATATATATATATATATATATATATATATATATATATATAGCAATACTGAACAAAACATTGCATCTAGACTGTTAGCATTTTGCTTTTACTGTACTATAAAAACCGTCATTTCATGCTAAGATGCAACATAACAGACTATGCAACAACAACAACAACAAAAAACACACACACACAATTTCTTACATAAAAATGCAAAAGTGTGTGTGTATATATATAAATATATATATACACACACAAACACGCGCGCGTGCTTCAGGTTAAAAAATAATAATAATACATATTATGACAGTGTACTTTGTTAACTCAATATCCACCAAAAGACGCCACGCCAGTAGTGGTTATTGCATAGAATGGGGGGGGGAGGGGGTGGGGGGTTGATGTTTCCAGCCATTAAGGTGCAACAAGCTGATAATCAAGAGCAACAGAGAAAGTCTACAACAGCACGATGTGTCTGTAGTGGAGGTGGACAGAAGAGCACGAAGCACAACATTATATCTCCATCGACACCCGAAGCGGTAAAAGAGGAGGAGAAGAAACAAGAACAATGAGACATATTTATTGTTAGAGGCAAATATGAGCTTACAGTGGGAATTTCTATTTAATAAAAGCACCACGAGGCTAGCTTTTGACAACAATAAAATAAACAACGTGCAACACAACGTGAAAACGATAATGTCAACAAACAGCAGCACAATAAATGAATGAAAACTATGCATAACACGAGACTTGAATGGGTTCTCCTGCATGCAACGGAACGTGATACTATTAATAAATATCATTGCTCAGCGACGGGTGAGTACTCAAGGCTCACGTAACAGAGGTGTGGATTCAAGAGGCCGGGCAAACAATGACAACATCAAGTGGGGTAGCATTGGGATATACACGATGATGCTCTAAGGGTTTGCACAAATGAACGTTTATGTAATCTGAACTTACCCATGATACCGTCTGCATAAGAAGGCAATACAATATGTAGTAATATCGAACTGTGTTGTTGTAATGCTAACAGTTGTATAGGCATTTCACAGTAACATGGTTAAATAAATATATTGTACAATTATAAGCCATATTTAGATTTAAAATGTCAAGTTTGAGGTTTTCAACAACGGATCAACATCATGGCACACGGGTATCAAACTATAAGTGTTCCGTTTTTCTTCTAACTCAAGCCTAAGTCCGAAGAAGCTCAGCACAGTGTACAGGCTCAGTAGCACAGGCGAGGATCCTGAAATACTTTAAGTAGATATGTAACTTCACATTTTGCCCGGACAGCGCCGTTAGGCTACTCTTTTCGATTTCCAACTGCCAAGGGATTTTTTTTACGCCCGCAAAAATGCACACGGGCGTCCGATCTCACTACCCAGAGACAAGGGGGATTTATAAGAAGTCCGGGTTTTCTTGAAAAAATCCCAGCCCTCAGCGGGTATTAAACACGGAACCTCTAGCACTCGAGGCGAACACCATGCCTCGACATCAAGCAGCCCCACTTAAAATGTAAAGTAAAAGTAATTAAATGGCTTTTTTTACGCCTTTAGATATATTAGGTATAAGAAGTTAGATCTATATCTTATAGACCAGTCGGCACTTCCTGGGTGATGTTGTTTGTCAACATCACGCCGGTCGACTTTACTTTCCAGGAAAATGTAAAGTGCCATTTTCACACCTATAGCGTGCCGAGCAAATTATATTTAGTTATATTTTAATAGACCGTCAGAGGCCATGAATGATGTAAACATCACGGCGGCGACCTTTTCTTCCTCGGGCATTACTTGGCATTCACTTTAGGGTGGGTAGATCTGGGAGTCCTGGTGATTTCTTCGTAAATCCGCCTAGTGCTAATTGCAGCCAACGAGCCTCTGTATATATACATATATATATATATATATATATATATATATATATATATATATATATATATATATATATATATATATATCAATTGCAACACACTATGACACCAATTTCCTTATTACTAATAATAATGATAATAATAATCTTCTTCTTTAGCATCCCGAGCCTTTGAGGTTCATTGCTGCAGATATCCTCGGCCTCCACTAATCTCTCTGGTAGCTTTCTCCCTCAAGTTAGTGACACCAAATGTTTGCAGGTCTCTCTGGACATTATCTCTTCATCGTCTTCTTTGTCTGTCTCCTGGTCTACAACCATTATCTCCCTTGTGTACAGTTTTTACCTCTCTGTCATTTATCATTCTCTCAATGTGCCCTAGCAATTTCAGCATATTAGCTTTCATGATGCCAGCGATTAATCAAGAATGATTATGAAAAGAATAATAATGTTAATAATAATAATAATAAAAATAATAATAATAATATTAATAATCATCATCATCATCAGCAGCAGCAGCAGCAGCGTCAAATACCTTGCCAACTGATGTAGGCGACCACGCCTCCCCACACCTAGATATCTATAACATCATTTATCAGTTTGTGGGTTGACACTTTTCAATGCTATGCCACCAGCAGTCAAGAATCTTATAGGCAAGTTTGCATTTCTTCGATCATACTACTCCACACCCTTCGTTCTCTGGCAGAATGCATCAGCTTAGGTACTGATGTGTATCTATGCCATCAGACTGGGGTTTTTAAACTTTTAGCTCTGGATTCCTCAGTCAAAGCGTCCATTTGCTTGACTGAATTCCAAAACTTTCCAAATCATTACATACTTTTAATTTTAATAATTGTTAAAACATTACATAGGGTGACTTCTTCTTCTTCTCTTTCTTCTTCTTCTTCTTCTTCTTCTTCTTCTTCTTCTTCTTCTTCTTCTTCTTCTTCTTCTTCTTCTTCTTCTTCTTCTTCTTCTTCTTCTTCTTCTTCTTCTTCTTCTCATTCTTCTTCTTCTTCTTCTTCTTCTTCTTCTTCTTCTTCTTCTTCTTCTTCTTCTTCTTGTTCATCCTTTATAATTATAATATTTAATTTCTTTTCACCCTCTACAATTTCTATCTTCTTCCCCTCCCTACCTCTTCTTAATTTTCCTCGTCCTAATCATAGCCGCATCCTTCGTTCTTAGACTATCAACACACTGGTACATTAAATGTATTACACTTCCACCACTAACTATTTTTTACGCTTATCAAATTCGCAATAGTGAACTCAATTATAGCTAGCT